AATTTCAGTCTTTCTATCATCTATTACAGTATTATCTGTCCCCTCATTATATTCTTCTTTCTTATTCATCTTTGTAGTTCCTTCTAAAGCTGTTGATCTTTACCTGGATCTAAGGTGCTTAACTGAAGGACATATACAGGTAATTCTATGATTTTTGCATTTCTATATTATGAATTTATGACCCTTGCTCCTTCGGTGGCTAAATTAACCTATATTTTCTTCCAGGAGATAGCTGAACCTAATTATGAAAAACTTCTCCCTGATTTGGTTAAAGAACACGAGCAATTAAGAATTTTCACACTTGTTTTGGATCTTAGTGAGACATTAATTCTTCATGACTGGAAGGTGAGTTTTATGTTACTATTTAAGCATTGGTATCCCCTGATGTTCCACCAATCCAGCATTCACTTCACTATGTTATTTGATTTGGATATTTCTTACTATGTCAGACGTCTTTTTCTTCTGGCGATCATTCATTATACTCCCTTACTATTCTTCTCTTGATATAGATAAATAAAATTTTGTGTATTGGCTTCTAAATTACAATCGACAACAGTGCAATATGGAATTGTTACCAGATCTTCTGATTATATGTTTTCTTGTTTCTATCTAAAGCGTGAGATAGGTTGGTCTACTTTTAAGAGACCGGGACTGGATGCTTTCTTGAAGCACATGTCTGAAATTTATGAGATAGTTGTCTATAGCGATAAAGTGGTATGTACTGAACTTCATAGTTCAAAACTTCAAATACTACCTGATACCATTTGACTCATATCACTTTGTTAAATTTGTTATTATGACTTGTTCAGCTGGAGGATAACATATATGCGAAGCTCATGGAAAAAGGTGTGCATCACGTTCTGGGAAGGGCCGCCACTAAATATCAGGATGGAAAGCATTTCCGGGTTTGTATTTGCTAACTTGTACTATTCTATTTTCCTTGTTCGACTGTTTCCAAAATGACGAAAGACCTCAAATGAGAATTCTTTTTTTGCGCTTTGGGTATATTGATTTGGGGAGATCTATGGAGTTATAAGGCTTTCTACTTGTTGCCTATTCTCCTATTTAGCAATCACGTAGAGAATTTATCATAGCTAGTTAACAGTTTGGTTAATCATGATGCCAAATGACTTGAAATCAAGGTCTGTGATAAAAAGCATTTGCTTGCATTTAAAGCGTGGGTAGATGGGTATATACGGTATTATAGATATTTGGCTTAATTTTTCTTTCTCTAATTGGTCATAATATGCAAAGGACGGTCAATTTTGTGTTACTTGATGTTTTGCATTAAACACCAGACCAAGAACTTTTTATAAAATGGTGAAACAGAACTGGTCACCCTAAGTATGATAATTCTGCTACTGCATGATTGTAATGAAGATTGATAATTAGACTATGAGATTTTTGAGTGTATATGCCTTTGCTTGTTATGCATCTTAATTTGTCCATTGTCATTTAAGGCGTAAGATCGACTATTACTTGGCTTTAGATTATATTGGATTAATCAGAATGTCTCAGATTGTTCTTATTTTGTTATGAGACAGACAATTAATTTCAGACCAAGGGTCTTGCAGAAACAGCTTTCTGTTCACTAGGGTATTGCTGCATACATTAACCCTCTTCCACCTAAGCCATTCTGGAAGGGAGACTCTTTAGACAAAGCAGAGCAATGTTGTTGCTATAGTTGTGTCTTCATATTCTTTTGTCCACAGCGACTTTTCTGTGGTGTGTTTTATTTTTGGCTGTATTTTCAGGCCTTGCCCTTGAGACCTGGGCTCAAGCCAATAGTTTTTGCCACTTTTATATCAAAATGAAAAGATTTGTTCGCATTCTGATTTTTAGATAGGAGAGCATAGGAGCTCTGCTTGAAAGCTGGGCTACACTACCCTCTCTACTCGTCCATAATAAAGACTGTATCTAAATTGAGAAGACCATTCTCTTTTGTAAGGTCCCTGATAGTTTTTGTTAGTGTTGATTTATTGAGATTATAGATTAGATGGTTTGAAATTTTGAAATACAGAGTGCGTAATTTCTTAAGCGTGGCTATCCTCTACAGTAACTTGTATCTTTGGTAATTTCCCATTTTTACTGCAACTTTAATTCATGTTCCAAGCTCTACCGTCAAATTATTTTTGCTGTTGGCATTGGGATCTGTTGTACATGGTTTATCCTCCCATGTCATTCATTTGAGATAATGAATATGGCTTTTTGTCATCTGTCTTTTGTCACAACTATGCAGGATCTCTCCAAGCTAAATAGGGATCCTTCAAGGGTTATCTATGTGAGTGCACATGCACTAGAGACTTGCCTTCAGCCTGAAAATTGTGTTTCTATCAAACCTTGGAAAAAAGAAGCTGATGATACGACATTGATTGATCTTATTCCATTTCTTGAATGTGAGTACCTGTCAGGCTATATCAGCTTCTTGTAGTTGTCACATTTCCAGTATAGAATTTGTAGCAATGCATTTTTCAGAATGGTTGCAAATTACGATTAGCTGTTCACTCTCTCTCTCTCTCTGACACACTGATTTATTATATTTTTTTTTATCTTTGTAACTGAACAGACGTTGGTGTTCAAAAACCTGCTGATATAAGATCAGTTTTGGCGTCATACCAAGGGAAGGATGTTGCAAGCGAATTCATTAATCGTTCAAGAGAGTATCAAAGGTAATAGTAACTACACCTTGAACATTAGTAAACTACTGTACATGAGTATCAGCTTATAGGAATGCAGTTGATGTCTAAGGTGATTTTCTCACATCAAATAAGATGCACATTCCACTGCCTCTGCTCATACATAGGCGTGCTTTCTACCTATGCATCATGTCAAATATGTCTGCCTGTCTGGAGGGTTCTCTCATTGATTAATAATTTTGATAAGAAATAACAAACGACCTGTTAAACTAAAGGGTATTATACAAAAGGTAGAATAAAAACGTTTCCTTTTAACTCGTATTCCACCTGGCGACAATTGTTCCACCTTTCAACTTGCATTGTTGTTTGAGTCCGTTTGCCGTGTTCATCAGATTACTGTAGTCTTCTATGGAGATTGATCAAGGTCATTATGTTGATGACTTTACGGCAGTGTTCCCTGACAACTTATGCTTTGTGCTCCTAACGAAATATATAAATGATGTTGCAGGCAGATTGGGAAGAAACAAAACGCCTTCTGTTGGAGCCGCCACTCATAGAAGAAGCAACTGTGCTTCCCATAGAATTTTATTATTTACTAGGGGCTGGTTAAGTGACACTTCTTTCAAATTTTCTGCTTGGCATCAAAATATGATACACATGTCTGACAGCTCGAGGAATTTCTGAGTAGTTTGTAAATCTTGTTCTTACTGAACCTGATAACAATTTTCAATCTATAGAGTATAAATCTTTTGTTCAGAATGATCTTAACATTGCAGCTAATTTACTTCCCGAAATAGTAAAGAAATTTTTTTTGCAGGCTTTGATTTCTCTTAAACACTAAATTTGCATACTGTCCAGGTTTCAAGTTTTGAACCTGTAAGATTCCATGATGTTGATTTAAGTTCTTAAAAAGCTCTTAACTAATTTAACTTTTAAATGAATGTTAAGGATAGAAGTTCAATGGATACAAAGTCTGCGATTTTTTCATACATTCGCTGTGATTGTCCCAAGTGCAATCAACATCATCTAATCATATTGTTCAATTTCGTATCAAAAAGATTTGTGTTTTTTACATATATTTGTTGTATTCTCTATCTTTTGTGTGATTGGTATAGTATGAGAGAAACTAACAAAATTTTGAAAAAAAATATTTTTTTTTGTTTATTTGTATAATGTCATCATTGATTCATTGGTTGGCTGAGTAAGGTCATACATAACTCAAACTTACTCGTATTACATAGTCTTCAATCTGACTTATGTCACCTCATATTGTGTAGATCCTAGAACACTGCATTCACAAGCCTACAACCCTACTGCACAACTTTTTTGTAAAAGATATATAAACAAAAGTTGCATTAATTTTTTGCGCTTTTATTTCAATATTTATTATTAATCCTAACAACAATTATATACCCGAGAGCAAGGTGCATCAAAGGGTAATATTAAATGAGCAAAAAAACGTCCTTGGATGTATCTACCTGGCCACCTCTGTGTACACCCGGAAGTATATAAAAAGGTGTTGCAACAAATCAATCCAAACCAAACTGCAAAAACTATGGTTTGGTTAGTGGTTTAAATTAACTTTATAATTAATAATTAAATACCAAGAGACTTGGGAAGGAGAGTACAATTCAAAGAAATTGAATGATTGGATGCTAGAATTTACTTTGTTTACTTAAAAGAAATGGTAGTTGGAGTTAATTTAATAGTGAAAAAGTTAGGTCTTAGGTGTTGTAGCAATTTTTCCTTTTATTAAAGTTGTAATCTTTTATGTAAATCACATTTATGTATCACATATAAGTGAATTTACATATTTGAAGGTAATATATACTCCTTTCGTTACATATTACTCGCAACAAAGGAATTTTTTTTTTCTTTTTGTGACGATTAAAGGTAATGTTTCATTTAGGAACATTATGCCTATTTCATGAGCCCAATTCACAATCAATCTTGTGTCAAATGCCAAATAAATCTAAACATTCACAACCAATCCCGACCCTTGACAGTTTGAACTCATGTAATTTTTATTATTATTATTATTTTTTTTTTTGACAAACTCAGGTTGGATTTGATTACATGTAATGACTTGTGTTAGAGTTACACCCTGTGCTTTTTATTACTGCCCCCATTAATCACTTGTGTCAATGTGTGAGTTTGAAAACTATACATTAAGATAGTTCTAGTAAGTACTCACATAACTATTTTAAACCTTAATTTTTTTAAGAGAATTTTTAATCTTAATTACTCCATACATATATAGCACAAACATAATCAAAATGGTGTTTGTGAATAATAAAACAAGGGAAGTATATTTTACCTTACCAATCTTTTTCATTTGACCTCACCTATGTGACCATTTGTCAAAATGTGATTTTGAGAACTACTTTTCATCCTAAATTAATTCTCCCAAATTTATATTAGGAAAATTCCCTCAAATTCTAGAACATAAGTTGTCCTACTATTTGTTTCAAAAAAAAAAAAAAAAAAAAAAGTTGTGTTACTATTAAGTTTTTATTGGTGTAAAGTTTCTCCACAAAAAAAAGTTTTAATTGGTGTACCATTTTTTAATTGTATTTTTCAATGCCAGAAACAAATAAAAAAAAATCAAAATCAAAATCAAAATCAAAATCAAGTAAAAACAAAATATCCCTTTCTATAAGAATATTTTCTCTGACAATTCTGGGTTATTTGGGCCACTTTCTCCGACCTCTGCCACTCTCTTCACCTCCACTGCTCTTTTCTCCTCACACCAATCAACAGGTTTTTCTCCTTTTCCATTTTTCCTCATTTTTCTGTTTAGATTTTGCTTTTTTAAAACCCAATTTTTTATTTCTGAATCATTTTTTCTTTTTTGAGAGATTCTATGATTATTATTATTATTATTATTATTATTATTGTGATAATCATACACGATTAAATTTCATTAAAAAAAAAACCCGAAATTTTCAATCACTATTTTGATTCTTTCCCATCTCCATAATAAGAAATTGTGTTTGAATTTAACATTTTTTTTTTTTGTTAAGAATGATAATGAGGAAAGGTTTATTTGTTTGTTTTGTATTATGGGTATTAGATTAAAGTGGGTCAATTGTTTTTTTTTTTCTTAAAGAAATCATAAAATTATGAATTATTATAATTGTTATGGATATTACTAGAATGAATGATTATTAATATTTTTTTTTTTTTGCTTCCCAAAAGTATTGATTACAATTGTAATTGTTCTAATATGTAGTTCTCATCTTTGAAGTAATAGTAATGGAATTGTTAAACTATTGCGTGAGGTTTCCTTACTACAACCTCTGAGTTATCTTGATTGTAAAGGTTTCTCGTCGATGTGGTTGATGTTGTAGCTTCTCGTCGATGCCTTAACCCTTAACGAGGAGGAGGTTGATGTTATTGTAGCTTCTCGTCGATGTCTTAATCCTGAATTTGCCTGTTTCGACGAGGTGGTTAATTGATGTTGTAGCTTCTTGTCGATGCCTTAACCCTGAATTTGCCTGTTTCGACGAGGAGGTTAATTGATGTTGTAGCTTCTCGTTGATGCCTTTTTGTCATTGTCATTATTTTGCTTGTTTCGACGAGGAAGAGGTTGATGTTGTAGCTTCTCGTCGATGCCTCTACTATTACAATCAAAGAGGCTATGTTTCTCTTGCTTTTACCTCTTCGCCTCGCTCATCCTCGCCTTCTATGTCTCTATCTCCCCTAGCATGAAATGCCTCCTTTTTCGCGCTGCTCCCTATGATCCCATCCAATCCCCCCTCTTCTCTTACCCTTCGACTTATGGCGAGCACAAGCATGTTCTTCCTACTCTTCGTTCGTCCTGTTCTTCCCCTGTTTTCTTCTCAGGTATAACTATCCTACTATATATTTGGGGTGGACTAATCTTCCCTTCGAACAATATAATGCTTATTGTTATAACTTAAATGTGTTTTTCCGTGTTTGTTAGATTATCCATCGATCTTGAAAGAGATACAACAAGGTTTTCAAGATCGAATTGAGTCGCCTTTGAGGTATATGCAAGGGAAGGCTGTTACATTTGGTGGGAATTTTAGCTTAGAGAAGAGGATTAATTTTTTTGATACATTTGAACAAAATATAGAATTCCCTTGTGGATTCTTTAAGCCATTTCCTATCAATGATTATGGTTAGTACACTTAATATTATGACTAACAAATAAACATTCAATAATATTATTCAATTGATTTTGAAAACGAGTTTGTATGATACATAGTACTATAATTATTGTTTCAGATCGAGCAGAAATGGGGAGGTGCAAAGGAGTGGTAGTAGTATCTGCGATTTTTGGTGATCATGATAAAATCCGGCAACCAAAAGGGATTGGTTCTAAGACATTAGACATCACTTGTTTCATCATGTTTGTTGATGATGTTACATTGAGAGGGCTTGTTAACCACAACTTAATTTCGAAAGAATCGAATGAATATAAGGTTGGTGTATGGAGGCTAGTCAATGTCTCATCTCAAGGGTTGTATCGAAATCCAGCCATGAATGGTGTGATACCAAAGTATCTTGTTCATAGACTTTTTCCTAATGCAAAGTACAGTATTTGGGTGGATGCTAAATTGCAACTTGTGGTTGATCCTTTGCTTTTGATTCATTCCCTTGTAATCAAGGAGGATGTGGACATGGCCATTTCGAGGCACCCGTTTTTCACACACACCATGGAGGAGGCTATGGCGACGACAAGGTGGAGAAAATGGTTAGATGTTGAAGGAGTAAAGATACAAATGGAAACTTATTGTGAAAATGGGTTACGTCCTTGGTCATCTAGTAAACTACCTTACTTATCCGGTAATCTTCCTTTCTATATTATTATTTTTTTTCCGTTCAATATTGACTTTTAATAAATATTTTAAAATAATATAAACAAACCGATAAAAATATACTCGCATATACTTAAGTTAAACAATGCATCATGTATGGATATGATATAGATAAAATGGAGTTAAATTGATTTATTTGCTTTACTATGACCTTAATTTTAAAGTGGTAGAAAGATGTTTATTAGTCTCTTGAAATTAACAGTATAATTACTTGTAAAGTGTACTTGAACCTCTAATTTCAGCTTTTTTGTTTAAGAATTAAAGGAAGCGTACGTATGTAAAAATCAATGAGGATTTGCACTAATAATTAAAAAGAGTGTAATTGATCACTTATAGCTTAAAATTGAAGTATAAGACACACATTTTCTTGTTTAAATATATATAAAAATGGATTAGCCGTATATATGAAATCTAACTATTACAAGTAAACTTGTTATGTAGGACATATCCACCTAACTTGCATGCGTATCCTTATGTTATGTTATTAGATATGTAGATAAAGCAAGGTTGGGAATTTAGGATTAATGATTGTACTAATCATAGTAAAGTCATTGTCCCACTTAATTAATACTATTAATTAGTACTGTTTTGGTGTTACCTCTCCAATATCTACTTCGTAATCATATATTCTAGAAGAGCATTTGTGCAAGTTCCCTCCACTCCAACAACGATGTAGGTTTTGGGCCGGTTTTGAGTTCTTTCTTACCCGATATGACCTGACTTGACCTTTGGAATATGTAGATTATAATTATATCCACATACATTTCATTCTTTTCCTATTCTTTTTTTGAAAGAAAATTTTGTTTATAATTGAAAAAAGCTTGAGCCGACAATATATAGATTATTGGAGGGGGAAACGCCATTATTTTAATTAGAATTTTTTTAATTGATTCATCTTTGTGAATATATTAAACAATAAATTTAACAAACATCCAAAGAATCATGTTAGGGAAGCATTTAATATATTATAACAATATCCGTGTCTAATATATATACCTGGGTGCATCTAGTACTAAACATATACTTATAAACACTAGTTTTAGAGTGGTCTCGATCCAAAGAATCATGTTAGGGAAGCATTTAATATATTATAACAATATCCGTGTCTAATATATATACCTGGGTGCATCTAGTACTAAACATATACTTGCACACACGAGTTTTAGAGTGGTCTCGATCACACACATATTACAACATGACGGTCATTGAATCTACCTTCTAAATTTTAGAGTTTGCTTCAGGTGCATCCAAATATATGTAAGAATATGTAGACTATTAATGTTCTAGTATGGAATATAATGAAATATTTGGATATGATTCATTATTTTGTGAAGTAATTAAAAAGTGTATTATGTCCACATTTCGACTTGCATTAGCTAATATGTGGATTGAGAAGTATGAATTAATATTGTCCATAATTTGTTAAAGGACAAGATGATGCATTGCTAGATCTAGTTGTTTAACATTAAATTACCACATTTATGTGACACGAGATCCCCATCTATTATTAAATTCTTTTGTTAATGGATTTTAGGATATGATGTTACTCACATGACTGATAACTCTTAGCAAAATTGATGTTTTAGTTTTTCATCTTTCTTCCATCTTTTCACTTGTAAAAGTAAAAGTAAAATCAGTATATGTTTAGATAATTTTTTGGTACGAATGAGTTACAAGGGTAGTGGATTTTTAATTTGCGACCTGTTGTATTCGTACACAGACCCTCAGTCTTAACCACTAGGCCAAGACCTTATTGGTTGTGGGTGGGGTTTGTTGACGAATAATAATACCATATGCTTTAGAACATAGATGGTGTGCAACATCAGAAAATGGACAAGAGGTAAAATTGAAGTGTCATTGTCTAGCTAATTTAACTCTAGTTACCATGAAATATTGAAATGAATGAAAGTGAGATCTTTGACATGGATTTTGTCAACATATATACAAGTATAATAATAGGTAGGATTAATGATAAATGATATGAGAAGGTGATCTGAGTTCAGAAAACTACAACTTGATTCCAACATTTTCAAGTTTCAATTTTTTCTGAGGGCCAGACCTTGTATGTTCATGTCTAATGATAAGTCACTTTGATTTTACTGTTTGTAGCTTTTTGGTCTACAAAAAAAGAATGTCTCTTTCAATCTTTAATTCAGTCCCACAAGCCAGCTATATTTTGGAACCATACTTTCTCATTGGTAATGGAAGATAGATAATGGAAGATCAGGAAACTTCGCTTTTCATTTTTTTTTTTTTAAATTATTTTTATTTGAACATATAACTAGAAAGGTGGAAAAAACAATAAGGTTTTGGCCTAGTGGTTAAGGTCGAAGACTTGTGTACGAGACAACACGTTGGTAGTAGATAGATGATTGCTTTAATTTGATGAATCCTCCTTGCTATTGGCTTAAATTAATACTTCGTATGAATAATTTTTTTGCTATCAACATTTTATGCAAGTGTTTTTGAAGGTTATCTGCATATTGTAACGAACTGATAGTTGTTGCATTTAAAGTTGACAGTACAAATAATGTTGCATTAGTATATATTATACTTATAAAGTTGCAAATAATTATGATAAATACTTACAAGTATATAATGTATTGATGATATTTAAACGATAGATGACTTATCATGTGTTGCATGCTAGGTTGTTCAATATGTGGTCGAAAAATTATGTTTTGAGAAAGGGATAAGACTTGATTCTTATTCTTAGCATGGATAAGTTTTCGATTTTTCGGTCTCTTGTTTAAAACACTTACATGCATAATTTTTATTGCGATGTACTATCTTATGAGTTGTGTATAAACTAGTACATCCCAAATTAATAGACATATTTGATTTTGATTTTCAAAACATGCTAATTGTTCCAACAAAATTGTCAAAAACTATACTGACTTGTGATGTATGTAAATAACAAAACATTTGATGAGGTAACAAGTTTTAGCAGCAGTGTATGAATATGAGTTGTGTTTATTTCAGACGTGCCAGATACAGCCTTGATACTGCGAAAGCACGGAGTAAGTAGCAATGTCTTCTCATGCCTGATGTTCAATGAGTTAGATGCCTTCAATCACAGAGATCAGCTGGCCTTTGCATATGTGAGGGACAAGATGAAGCCTAGAATCAAAATGAACATGTTCGAGGTGGAAGTACTCGAACAGATTGTATTGGAATACCGGCACAACCTTAAGCGTGGCAGCTCTTCTACCACTCCTGCAGACAAAATCAAAGTCACAAGGGCTCAACCAGATGTTTCGAGGGCCAACGGCCTTGGCAAGTGTCAAGGGTATTTTTTGGAGATGTGGGGGGAATCACATTATTGATCCTTCTTGTTTTGGAGCAAGTATAGTAGGTTATTCTTTTATTGTTGTTTATAGTCATATTTAGATAGGTTTTAGACATATTTGATCGAGTAAGGAGGAAAAAAAGGCGTAGGAAATGACATTTTAAATACTTTGTATGGCATTTACATCAGATTTGGTGCTATTTTGTGCGCCATTTATTCTTATGTTAAATGCATTCTAAGTCCCTGCTGTTTTGTACTTCATACTTCTTCAATTCATGGTGTATATAATTTACGTTGTTAAAAGAGATACAGATGATCTACTCACAAAGTTGACCAAACTTTATGGAAACCTATTAACTGATTTATTTGAGCAAGTTTGCTCAGAATACATTGTTCTTTGTTAAGAAAATATGGAGTTGTGTAGTATATGTTTGGACTGATAAGTTCAACAAGTTAAGTTTCATCATTTGGAGATTTTAGGTGAAGGTTTTGCTTACCTAGCATTGCTGGATTGTTGTTAATGACTAGAAATATGTCTAATTGCTTACGCCCGTTGTAGGCAAACATACCAATGGAACTTACAATAAACTGGTTCCAATTTTGCAATTCCATATTGCAGCTAGAATTAATAATACTGAGATGGAACGGAAATTTTTTATTTGCATATTGAAAATGAAAAATCTAAAAGAAATTCTGTGATAAACATCAATATGGAGGATTGTTTGCTACGCTTTCGGGGTTAATCAACCATTTGCAGTCATGGAGTAGGAATACTAAGAATGTAGCGGTGAATGTACAGCAGGAATGAAAACCCACACATTGTGCTGTATGCAATGACATAGGACATGAGGCTGCAGTGAGAGAGGGAATGAGAGAAGGATAAGGTATGGGTGCCTAAACCTGTGTAGAAGCAACAACAGGTATCAAAGCCCTGTTGCGGATACTGGCATTCCAACTATCCAGAATGCCACCACAGAAGCTGATTTTGACACCAAAGAATAGGAAGAGGAAGGCGCTGACCCAAAACTGCGTCTATTACGATTTCTAATAGATTTTAGGCTGCCCCTGATGCCTATTGAAAATAAGAGAATCAGATCCGGAGAGTAAGGGAAAGAGAAGTACTGAATTTTAAACACCCTGTATAATGAAGACTGTAAAAGTCACTGGCATATTTTGTAATACCCTGTATATTCGGTAATTATTTGCACTGATGAGTGATGACTGTATAATGAAGGCTGTAAAAGTCACTGGCATATTTTGTAATACCCTGTATTTTTGGTAATTATTTCACAAGTATTTAAATTTTCAGCAAGTAACTGAATAATTATGTACAAGGTGAGGTGAAAATTGTGAATCATCACTAAACTAAGCTAAAAATACAGTAGGAACTTGCGCTGCTAATGCAATTTTAACTAAAATCCCACATTAGGGTTTCCAGATCCAACGGCTGCAACTCCCATGCCACCAACCTGATCTGATACAAGTTCTGGTTTATCTTTGTCAACAGATTTTGCTAGAACTTTGTCACCATTGATCTTCTTAACAAGCTCATCAATTTTGCGGAATTGAAATGGCCATCTCGAGTTGTACAAGAATTGACGCAGATCAAACCTATTGTCCTCTGGTGAATAGCTCTTAAAGACAGCAACAACACATATAAGGATTTACAACAATCAACAACATAACCTATGCCGGGAAAACAGTGTTCAGCAGAAAAAGATACCTCTGCATGGTAGGAAGGCGTAAGGACAGTCATCTTGTGTCGATTGATGGAGTAGTACTTGAAGAAATACTTCACCTTCTCAGCAATTTCTGATGGTGTCAATACTGAACCCCATCTAAAGCAAAGATCCTGCAAGAAGTTGAAAATATTGATATATAGCGAAAGCCAACCCCAAATGTGAAGGATCACTTTTTAAAATTAATGCAGGTTTTATACCTGACTGAAAATTATGCATATTTTCTTTCTATCCGATTTATATTCTAGTACTGTAGATTATTTTCTGGAAGCCCCAAAGTATCCTGGGGCATTAACTGGTGAGTGGTGACAACTAAAATATTCCAGATTTCGATACGTGAAATTCATGTCCTTGAATGAGGTTAGAACTTTTGCTCACTTAAAGGACACATTTACTTTAATTATCACCAATTGCTATTCTGATCAAGGCGAAAAATCAAAATCCTAGTTCGTCAGTCATCACTCTACCAGCTGCACTAAATTTTTTGATCAATCTATTGTTCACTTCTTCTCGACATCTAATTACCCATCAATTAAATCCATTTTGAGTTGTCACTGGCACCTGTTAATAAGCTGTTACAGTACTTGCTAACAAAACATAGCATGGCCGCCTATAATTGTACACCCAAATAAACACGCTTTTACCCAACTAGGGTTTCTAGAAGCTCAGCTTAAAAGGACAATATCATACTTGTCCTGTGCAATGACTTGTGCTTTAAACAATTAAACATTGTAAATGATTGTGAATTCTGTAATATCTAGTCATTAAAGCAAAATAAAGTTAACTTCCGCTATGCAAATTACAAAACCATTCAATGCTTATGACACTATCAACCTAATTGCTTGTAGATAGTTGAAGGAAAACTGGAAAACAAAATGTGTTAATCAATATGAAGCAAAGTTATACATACCGTGAACATAGATACTGGACCACGACGATAAATTTTACGCAATCGGCCATAAACTGAAAGGTCTTCATATGTCATTCCCATATCCACTTCATCCAGCTGTGAGCAAAACATAATATAAAGAAACTAATAATTAAATATCTACATGGCATAGCAAACTAAAAATTAATGGGTGTTCAACAAATCAGCAATTTAACTACTATTATTTTAAGTCATAAGGAAAACACGAATAAAGGACCAACAAGAATTATTAATGAGATACAACTCAGTAGCAACATTTGACACAAGAATATTAGTGATACATCTACCAAAGAGTACCTGTGTGTAATCTGAGCGTATTGGCTCCAGTTCAGCCGTTGGTGGAGCAGCTTCAACATCTGCCAAAGAAGAGTAGCCAAGATGGACAGCAGCCCACCGCAAGAATGCTCGAAGATCAGTCTTACTAATACTTCCAATAGGATTTATGTCGGCCGAGCTACAATCATACTAACAAACAAAGCCAAAAGCATTAGTAGCACAATCAACGGATGACCAATAGCTACAAATTTGAACTACCAATTTGATCAGTTCTGTCATGATGGTAGAGAATCAAGATACTTCAACTATACACTAAAGACATGAGGTCAGACCAGAAAAAGACTACCTTTGTCAAGTAACCACGCAATGCCTCATCGACATTGGAGCTACCAAGGACAAGATAAAACCCAGATTTGCTATGAACCCAAGGCATAAGCGATGCCAACATGAAAGCCAAAACCATTCTGATACGAGCTTGAATGTTCTGTAACCCTAAGTTCTCAGCATTTGATCCTCCATCTACCTGCATAAAAACCAAGACATATATAATTTCAAAGATCTATAGTAGCATTTCATTATTGTAGATTTGTAGAATTAGCTACTTTTAAAAGCAAAATACAGTATTGCACTGAATCATTAACAATATTAACACAAATAGTGAAATCCAAATGAAGTACACACTTCAAAATCCACCCTCCTATTCTCATAGTCTTTTCAGTGATCACCTTATAGCGAGGGCGTTTTCCTGTTAGTGTCTTAAACAAAGTCAGTAGTGCTGAAATTACACTATCTATGCAGACATCAAGATGCCATGACCCAATCTCATCTGCAAGTTCTTTGGCACGTGATTTTGTTGTTTCAGAGCTGCAAAAAGGATTATATTGACAATCATTATTAAATTACATAATCTAAACAGCAACAACCTCACCGAAAAAATGTGGGCAGGGTATTACAAAAATCCTTACCCCTAATCTTTGACATATTGTGCCTATTCTCATAACTACTATTTTGAATCATAAAATAATAGCCATCTATGTAAGATCGAAATCATCATGCTCAATCATTTTTGAGCTCTTATCATTGCATACTTTAGATTTGCAATATTCATGCCAATGTAAATTTTAATATATTGACACAAGATAACATCTTAGATATATAGATTAACAAAAATACATTTGAAGTTTTGCTCTTGAGTGAAACAGCACTTCAGCAATGGAAATTCATTGTCTTATCATAGTTGTGATTGATGTGATAGTTGAGTAGTGAGCATACATCTTGGCACTAGTATGATAAACAAAACAAAAGTACAATGCTTGGAATTACATAGAGTAGCATATAGTTGTACCTATTTTCCGTTCCCATGAACACGGTGTAAAATATGCGTTTTGCAAACTCTTTGCTATCAGTTGGAAATTTGCCATCAGGATACTGGCCAATCCTTATTGCATCAGATTTAACTCGTTCATCACCATTATGTATTTCTGGATACCAAACAGCATGATTTTATTTTAAGGAGTCATAGCAAAAAGAGTAATAATTGAAAAAAAAAAGAGCCTTGAACATTAAGATAATGACCATATTCCTATGTAATAAGAAAGCTGCAAAAATAAGCCCAAACTAAAGAGTTAACTTCAGCATATGATAGAAAGGCTCATCATGAACTCACCTTTAACAACTAGCTGACACATGCAGCCAACAATTGCAGCAACAGAGGAGCTATCAGCACCTCCAGAAAGTGGAAGCAAAAAACCAGAAGCTCCACTTCTTCTTAAATAGTCCCATAGCCAGCAAGCAGGTCCCAAAGCTATTTCTTCCTCAGGTTTGTGTTCACAAAATTTGGTCTACAAGACACCATTGCATTTCCTTAAGACAAATGTACTTGTATATGTAAAACAATGTTTTTTAAGGGCAAAAAGTGCACTTTTGTTTAGCAATGTGGAAACAGTTTGCTAAATTGGTATTAAACTTCACACACAAATGTCCATTACAAAGCATTTCAATTACCACCAACTAAACAGGACATAACAACATCGCATAGTTGAATAGAAAGAGCTTACGAGTACACAGATGAGATAAATGAATTTTTATGCAATACAACTATACAATAGTTCGATATCCAAAATCAAGACTGGACCAATAGGGGGGGAGCTTAATTATTGACAATATACCATGAAAAATCTGTAGGTTGTACCCAATAAATAGCAGCAAAAAAGTTCTACCTACAGTTTCTTTATAATAATTGTACTTTGCTTAAGTAATTGGATTTATAAAAATTAAAAAAAAATATTGTCTCACAAAAGACCCTAGGCAACCTCTACAGAAACTCAAAGATGAAGAATCCTTCTCCTCCAATAAAATGAAAAGCATACTTGGAGAAAGTGATTACTTTTGAACAACATTTTACTTGAATAGGAGATAGGCTAACCTTAAGTGGACATGAAATAGGTTCGTCCAAATGAAATGATTGGCAAAGCTTGTACGGAGCTACAACAAATGGGACATCTACTTTTTTGCTCGCCTGCTGCTGAAGACTACTTGAGGAAAGTCGTAGGCTAGTAATCTGTGATGAATACATACTATGATCAGATAAAGAGTAATCAAGCACAATATGTAACATAGCTAGAAGAAAATAGAAGTATAATACCATCACTTTAAATATATGAGCATAAGCATTCAGATTATATAACTTCTATGACACAAAAGGCAAATCAGCCTGATAACAAGAAGGCTGAAAATTTTCAAGACCAAACATTGAAACTTACTGCATCAAGATCCACGTGAGCAATGACAACTTCCACATCCTTCAATGAAAATTGTGAGCCTTGTGCAACCACATCTCCATTCACAACAACACAGGAACATCCATCTGCCAAATCAATCCAGGGGGTAAGAAATAGATAGGTAAGCTATATGAACACTATTAAATCACGATAATAAGATCTTCCATTCATCGGAATGATTGATGCCAATATAAAGTGAAAACAAAGAGATACCGTAATATAAGCGTCCACCATCACAACCCTGCTGATTACTATACATGTAAAGCCCTCCACGAGCTTGTGTAGCACCTATAAAAGCATCCATACGAACTTTGAGCTTTCTTAGTTGATGGTGACTTCCACTAGCATTCATAAAAACTTCAACACCATTTAGTGCAAGCTGGGCATGTGGTGGATCTGGACAAAATAGCTCCTCACAAATTTCAGCAGCAACAGTTCTGACAAGAAAATAAATGCTTGAGCAATAGTCATATCCAATCAGGGAGGGGAAGGAGGGGGGGAATAATATGCAAGAACCACAAATAGTTTGTAAAAGGCAAAGCTCAAGATTAGGAAAGAAAACATCAAGGAGTGCTCAATAAGATTTTGTACAACAAAATGCTGTGAAACAATATGCAATACATAAAAGTATGTAACATACGTGTCCAAGAACTTAATGAAACCATAACCAAAGGGCACTGTTGTTTGCGATATGGCATCCGCAATATCTCGAGGTAGCTGAAAGTCCACCATCTGGTCTGTATGCTTCCAGGAAGTGAACCAACGCAGCTCTCTGTAATTACCATCATTGGCAAGCCAAATCTTTGGTCGTATCATGATGATCTTTCTATTCATACAAAGAACTTGGCAATTGTAACGTGCCGATCCATTTATAACAGGCATCCCGAAGCTACATAGTATGCCATCTGTCCAGTCCTCGAGCAAGATTTCTTTCAGACATTCCCATCTGCATGTTAGTCATCAGTGTTACAATTACTTCCCACTCACAACCCGCACCATTGTATAACATGAGGAAACAGAAAGAAGGGATAAAGCTTTACGTAGCCAGCTAATTTACTAAAAATCCAAACATCATACATATAGACAGGTGCATCAAATCTATACAATATCTATATCATGCTAACTAATTCTATCTATACACAAGTAAATGTTACATGCTACATCTGTCTTAAAGTAGTTGCTCCATTTGCTTTTCAAATGTGAAAGTTTCATAAACTTTGACCGAAGTTTTCTTCTATCATAATTTTATTTTATTTTGGTAGGTAAGGAGAAAGCTCAACTTGACCAGAGCCTTGTACATGTTAACCAACATGATCTCTTGGGAACGAGAGGGAAGTTAGGCCACCCCCAAAGTGCCCCTAATAGAGATTGGTCACACGACCTCAAGATTGGTTTTTCTTATTGTATATATACTCATATAAGATCTTGTAAAAATTGGTTTATAGCATGTATCATCAAATGTCAATTTTTAAAATAATTAGTAGTTTCAAACATGGCTAAAAATATTTAATGATCACAAGTGTGTCTTGGCAAATGTGAAAACAATTAGGGAATTAATGCATAAACACATAGAGTATATATCAATGATATCATATAGTATGAAACAACAAACAAAACAAATTAACAATTTGCTGACATTATAGCACATCATTTCCCATTAATCAAATAATATACCCTATTTTAGTCCAAATGATCCAATTAAACAAGAACTGAACAACAAAATAAAAATTCAAAACAAATATAATAACCCAATTATCAATCTAAACTTAGAGTAATCAAAGTAAAATTTAACATGAATAAAATGAATAATTGATTGAAATTGAAGAAGAATGTTACGCATGAGAGACAGTATCGAGCTCTAAGAAATGATCTTCGCAGCCATAACCAGTGATTTCGAGCTCAGGACCTAATCGGATAGTAGCGCCAGCATGTTTAGCCCTAGAAATTGAATCCTTAATATTCTTCAAATTGCAATCGAAATCCATTGCCCATTGATTCAAATTGCAAGTTGCAACTTTGATCAACCTCATTGTTTGATTTCTAATTTCTGGAGAAAGTTGAAGTTTGGGTTGAAATTCAACAATTTAAATTGGTTGCGGTGAGGACTGAGGAGTGGCGTCAGGACCGGGGGATTGTATAGTGTTGGTGGTGCCAAGGAATGCAGGAGGTAATCTCTTTATCATAAAAGGAATAAATAAAGCAAAAACAACAACATAAAAATGGTCAAAACAAAAAGTAGAGATAAAAAAATAAAAAAAAAAAACAACTCCGGCATAATATATCATTTCATTCTTCATAATGTCTATTTTTATAATATAATTTTTTCTAATTAACAATTAAAGATATTAATGGTCAAAGTTACCTCTCGACAAATATATCGGTGAAACTAATGCAAATAAAAGAAAACTGAGGGAGTAAATAAAATGTCTTGTTACATGCTTATTATTGGTAAACAAAAGAATGAACGGGTTGCAAGCTACACACTAGGTTAGAAAAGAGATAACCAAACTCCACCCTTATTGTGACATGTGTACAACTATTATTATTATTATTATTATTATTATTATTATTATTATTATTATTATTATTATTATTATTTTATACTAGGAATATATTTTAGTTTTTGCAAATTACAAAATGTTGTACTTCACCATTGAAATACTTTGTAGCCAAAATATGTTGTACCTTAAGAATTGATGTGGCAAGACAAAACCGCTTTACAATTAAATATACAAAACACTATATTGATTACACTGAATTCACAAATATTGTTCATTTGTCTTAAAACAAACAAACATCTCACAATGTTAGTTTGGTTTGTCATTCTAAATTTTGATCCAATTAACCATTACCAATTTTAATGTTATACGTGTAATTACCTATATAAGTAATTAAGTATAGCTTAGGCTGTATTGTTTTAATTTTTTTCTATTCAAATACTTCGTATACAATAATACTTCTAACTATTTTATACTCCACGAGCTTCAGCTATACCTAGGGATGTCAGTGGGACGGGTCAAGTAAGAGACCCGCCCCAGTGGGGCGGGGATGGGTCTCGGTTTGGCGGGTGGTGGGGCGGGGTTGGGGATAAAAACCATAGCCGCCATGGGTGATGGGGCGAGGGTGGATTTTAAGTTGTACCCGCCCCATCCCCGCCCCGCCCCACTTCGTACCCACCTCATCCCCACCTCATACTCACATCTATATATCTTTAAAAGCAAATTATATAATTTTATACTATTTTATAAAATAATTACGTGAAATAAAATATTAATTATAATACTTTATACTACACTTATATTATACTACCTCCGGTTCATTTTAGTTGCAACAATTTCCATTTTGGGGTGGTTCAAACTACTTGCAACAAAAAAAATTCCTTATTTGGTAACTTTTGGGCTGTAAAATGACATATATGCCCTTACTTTTTTCCTAATCTATCTTATTAACACTCCTAATTTCATTTGCTTAGTTTGGTGATTTAATTAATTAATTTAACTACTCCCACCAAATTTACCCCCTTCCCGTTTAAATTCCTTCATCTCTCAACCACCTTCATTGAATCTGCATTCAATTCTGAAAAATGGTTGAGAGAATTAAATTCTGGAAAAATTTTCTAGAAATCACACCCCCCCCTCAAATCCTACCTTTTTAAATCTCTCACTCTCGTACTCTCTTATTCTCTCTCCTCTTCGCCTCCTCTTTCTCCTCAAAAAATCTGGGTTCTTTCCTCTTTATCTCTCTTTATTTTCTGGGTTTTTGTTTACAACGATTCACCTTAATTCACTCTTGAAATGTCTTCTTCTCAACCTAAAATCATAGATCTGGTAAGCCATGTGTCCCTTTCTTCTGGATCCACACGATCCCCACCTAAACCTGAAGCAACCACGTACATACCTCGTCGTGGTTCTGGTGTGATGAAGTCATTCCATCGTGCTTCTGTAATTGCTAGGAGAAAGATTGTAGGGACGAAGCTTGCTGAATACATCTCAAGCGACGAGGATGAGAAGCCGAAAAAGTTTTCTCGGTCTAAAAGGCCTGTTCCGCAACCTCACATCCCAGATCGGAAGGTTGTTTCCACCAAAGAAGGTGGATCTGCTGCTGTGTTGGCTGTTCCAGCTGATACACCACCAGCAGACACCAATTCTGAAACTAGGTCTTCTTTGGTCCAGGAGCTGACTGCTAGAGAAGTCCTTCAGCCACCTGCTTCCCATCCCATGATGGGTGGGAGTACTTTCGGGCCTGGCGCTGGTACTAAGCGCCTGAGAGTCGGCTTACCAGGGGGGCAGGATCCAGATGACGTACTGGAGGCTTACCTCCATATCTACTACCCCCAGTAGTCCCTTCCCCCATACTAATTGGGCAGCGTAATTTCTAATACCCTAATCTTCTTTTTCTATTCCAATTTATGGTTAGTTATGCTATTAATGAGTCCCCTGTTCTTTGTTATGCTATTTCTGATAGTGTTGGTTCATTGGGTATGATTTGATGAGTTTCCTGTTATATTTGGATATGTTGTTTGGGTATGAGTTGTTGGTTGTTTGGGTATGAATTGTTGTTTTAGAAATGAATTGTTGAGTCCCCTGTTATGTTTGGATATGATTTTTGGGTATGAGTTGTTGGTTGTTTGGGTATGAATTGTTGATTTGGATACGAATTGATGAGTCCCCTGTTATGTTTGGCTATGTTGTTTGGGTATGAGATGTTGGTTGTTTGGTTATTATGAATTGTTGTTGGAATATGAACTGGTCTGTTGGTTGACTTGAGTAGTTGTGTTGGTGTGTTGGTGTGTTGGTTGACTGTTGGTATGATTTTGTTGATGAGTCCCCTTTGTGTGATGCATTGAGTCCCCCCCAGCTTACATCAAATTGAATCTCGTCCAAATGATGAAGGGACTCATCTGATAGCTATTTGAGTGTCATGATGCTCTATTTACCTCTGTTTGAGGTTTCTATTGAGGTACCATAACTCATTGATGCCTTAAAAGAGAACTGTAACCCTTTCTGATGGATGATTAGTACCCAAAAAAGGTTGTGTTTCCTTTAATAACAAAAGGTTGTGATTTTTACAAAACCAAACTAAATTAGCATACAAGACTGCCTAAGAATGTGTAACTTAAGTATGTAGCAAAATACACCTAACCAATACCAACAAAAAAAAAACAAAAAACATGTTAAGATTGTACTGGTTATGTGTGGCAGTCTTTGGCTCAGCTGGTTTGATTGTGCTTCCTTGTATTCTTCAATCTGCATCAACTTCCATTTGAAATTCATTTGCACTAGTACTTGGGATTGTGATTGAATCAAGATAGGAAACAACCTCTGCAATTAATTCCTTGTCTACTTGAAGCAAATCTGGTAAAACATCTTGCCTGTCTAGACTTCTTTTTTTCATGTGTGGTGGTGTATTGTTGTTTCCTCCTTTTCTTGTTAATACCTCAATCATGCATGACTGAAGTGTAACCCAACTGTATTTGTTCAACTCTGGATCAAATCCTTTGAATTCTAATTCAACTTCTTTGATGAGATCATCTAAATTATGAGGGAATGACTGATACTGCAGTGATTGAATGACATTGAATAGTCCTAAGTCTAGAACATTCATGTCTGGTGATTGAGCTGGTTGAAAAACAAATTGTATGTTGAATCCATATGCTTGACATGCTTCTTGAAATTATGGATCTTGTGGTATTTGGTGAGGCCTAGCATTGTCCTATTGAATAGTTATGTCCTTGGGAAGCTGTAGGGGCCATTGTTCATGTATTGTTGGCAACACATGATTAAGTAGCATGTCCCTTATTGCTTCCTTGTTAATACTCTGGACTGTCTTAGCCTCTATGGTTCCCTTGTCTCTGTTTTTACTCTTTTTCTTTGCTTCCTCATACTTGACAAAAGGGAAAAGACCATACTTCCCATCATATAATAATTGTTTGTTTGCATCATACAATGGTTTCCCAATCATGCCCATAAACATAACATTTACCTTAAACCTTCTGGATTGTTGTGCTCTGTATGGATTGTCTTCTGTTGGAAGAAGATAGAATGTCCTTGTTTTTGGGTTTATAAAAAACCACTTTTCATCAATGTGTATCCATTGTTGCATGTCTTCAAATGAAGGGTCCCCTTCAGCAGGAATTGGGGTAATGTGACTCATAACCCATTTCAGTCTTGCTATTTTATGCTGGTCAGTGAGTGCTGGTTTGTTTGTGCTTGTGTATGTTCTCAGTCTACCCCTTTTCCTTAACCTATGAATAGCATACTTAGACATATGAAGTGCTGCAGCATATCCTCTTTCAGTTTGTCTTTTATACAAAGGCACAGATCTTAAGAATTCATCAGTGTACTCCTTTTGTTTTCTGCCAACGGTACCTATTTTTTTGGTCCTAACATCTACAGCATTTCCATCTAACATGTATTGTTTAATTACCTTAAACCATCTTGTTTTTGTTGATCTATGCACATGATGCTTTCTGGCCAAACTGGATGAAAATCCTCTTGGCAAAGAGTCCCCCTCCATATTGAGCATGATCTCATCAACTATTTGGCGCTTTTTTTCCACTGTCATTTCTCTGCTTTGTCTGCCATACATATGCAGTGGACCATGTATTTCACCATCATCATCTGCATCATAACCAGCTTCTTCTTCTGAGTTGTTGTTGTCTTCTTCACTTTCTTCTGTTGTGAAATAATGTCATGTTGCCATTGTCTGCTCCTCATTGTACATTTGATTTTCATTAAAAAAGAGTTCTTCAAAGAACTCTGCCATGAGTCCCTTACCTTTTTTTTTCAAGCTGTCTGAAGGTGATGAAGTGGTGGCTGGATTTTTTTGGATGGTCTTCAACGGAGCCTAAAAGAACTGAACATGGATGCTTCTTTTGTTTAACTTAGCACTGTGAATTTAGGCTAATTTTAAACTAATTGTAGGCTTTTGTAATTTGTAGGCTTGTGTTTTGTAAACATTGAATTATTCACCCTAAACCCTCCCCCCCCCCCAACCCCTCTCTGATCTGTCTTTTGCTTGAAAAACAAATTGTCATGTGGTTTGAAAATTCCTCTTTTTATAAGGGGAATTGATTTAAATGTTAAGAAAACAAGTTTTGGGGTATTTGGCAAAAATTTTGAATTTCCCTTGAAAATTTGGGAGGGAAATTCGTGGGAAACAAAAAAAGGGGGAAGTCCTTCTTAAAATTGGCTGGAAAAATGGGAGGGAATTCCCACCTGAAAAGTTAGTTTTTTTGGGTGGGAAAACTCCACCTCACCAAACTTTCCCACTTGTTCTACTTTATTAAAAAAAAAAGGGGACCACATGCTTTCCCTCAATTTTAACTCCCTTAATTACTTAGAACTTGTTTGGTTGC